AAAAAAATCAAGAACTCTGAACTAAAGTTAAACATTTTTAAATGGGAACTACTTCTATGTAAAAACGTGTACTTAATAACATAGACATTTCTGGCTCTGCCACACTTCCAATGCTTTTGCTTTACAGCATTTTTCAACTTTTCTTCCCACTCTTAGAAAATGTGTTATCTTTCCATAAATCCCAACCCCATATTTACACTGCATGTACATTTTTTTAGTCAAACTAATAATTAAACCTCCTTTTTGCAAATTATCTTTTACATTTTTATCAGATTTAACCTGCATGTATACTCTTTGTTTTCTTATATGTGTATGCTTTTTGGATTTATTGTGTCTATCACTAAACTGCTTATTCAGTCAATTCATGACATTTCTTAAATCATTTTTATTTGTTTCCACTTTCATTTCCTCTTTTATAATAATAATAAGGAACATTTATATGGCACAGCTACTATACAAATATACTCAACTGCGCATGACAATACCCATCACTAGCAGAGATGAAAATCTGGTGTTGGAAAAAGCTTCATGAAAGAGATGAGTTTTTAGAACAATCTTGAATGTGTCGACAGATTTAGCATTTCTTACATGAAAGGGCAGGTTGTTCCATAGCCTAGGAGCAGCACAAATATATGCACGGTCTGCAATAGTTGTCTTAGTTCTACGATAGGGATGACTAAGGATCAACCTGTCCTGTGAGCTACGAAGACTGTACCTATGTGACTGGGATTTAAATGTGAGTAATTCTGAGATATAACCTGGTGCAAAGCCATGCAAAGCCTTAAATGTTATCAAAAGTATTTTAAATGCAATTCTTTGTGAAATAGGCAACCAGTGTAATTCAACCAACAAAGGGTAATGTGGCATTATTTAGCAGAGTTACACACAAGTCTGGCACAAGCATTCTGCACTTTTTGTGGCTTTGATATCTGAGAATCGGGAAGTCCATATAATAAACTACTACAGTAGTCAACCTTACACATAATGAATGCTCGAACCAAGGTTTCAGTACAAGTCTGGCTTAAGTATTTCTGAATGTGATGTAGGTTATACAGATGGTAAAATGCACCCCTACAGGTATTAGTTATGTGTCGATCCATATTAAGGTGGGAATCAAACTGCACACCCAGGTTTTTCACGGTTGCGGATGGCTGAACTTCAGCAGTTCCAACTGTTATGCTGTCAATGTTTATCATTTATTGATTTTTATCCATTTCCAGTGAGTTCAGTTCTTTTATATTTAAATATTCATGTGTTCTAATATTTTATATATTCTTATTTACATTTATTTACTTCACACCTACATGTACTCTGATGAGGAACGATAGGTCTTCATCTTTTTTAAAGTAATATTTAAGCCTCCTCTTTGCCAATTAGTCTTAACATTTCATCCCATTTATTGTACACTTACACGTACATACTTTTCTCTTACACTTGTATTATTTTGTATATTTTTTTTTTATTGGTTCTTTATTTATTGGTTCTTTATCATGATTTGCTCAGGACTCCTACCATTGAAATACCTTGACATTTTGAGCAACCATGCCAAAGTTCATGTTTATGGAAAGCAGTGGCTATGCTACGACTTCGAATCGGCAGCAGCTGGCCAGTGTCATTTCAAACTTGGAACACTGCATCCAGGTGGAATGAACGTAGATTTTTCTGCTTTCATTCAGAACTGAATCTGCTTGCCCTGACGAAGGTACCCAGTTACCAAAAGCTCAGCAATTACATTACTCAGAGCACTGATTATATACATGTACTATACATGTAGTTTTGTGTATATTCTGATCACGGTGCTATGTTCCTTTTCAAGGTCATTTGGGATGAGTAGTGCCAGGGTACTCAAACTGAATGGTAACAAGCATTGATTTAAGCAGGCCTACGTGTACATGTATGGTGGTGATTTCTCTTGCCACAGCGTCTTGAAGCATGGGAAGAACTGCGAAACTTTCAGACTAGCTGATGCTGCAAATATCAAATGCTTCAAAGATGCCAAAAAGGTAAACATCCTGAAACTGCTCAAGGAATTAGGAGTAAACAAGACAGTTCACAGCTTTAATGATGGTGCATTGGCTGATGGGGGACCCCATGAAATTGGCCTTCAGGACCTGGAGGACAGTGATTAGGATGATTCCCTGAGAAAGAGGGGCACACTGCTGCGAGTTCTTCTGAGCTGTACCGTAGCTGGTCACATCATTAATCATTTTAAGTATATTTTTGTTAGCTTAATTTTTGTTATTTTATTTAATTTTTTTGGTTGGAATTTTGTCAGTCCAGTGGGCTTGTGTCTGACTTGATAAGTTGACCAACAGACAGGCAGGCTGACTGACTGGTCAGTGTACCACTTAGTCAGTCAGGCCATCTGTCTCTTCCAGTCCATGGTCTGGGCTGCCTGTTGGTTGGTTGGTTGGTTGGTTGGTTGGTTGGTTGGTTGGTTGGTTGGTTGGTTGGTTGGTGGCTGGGTGGGTGGGTCGGTCGGTCGGTCGGTCGGTCGGTCGGTCAGTCAGTCGGTTGGTCAGTCAGTCAGGCCAACTGACTTTTCTGGTCCATGGGCTGGACTGTCTGTTGCTTAGTTGATCAGTTTGTCATCCGGTCAGGCTATCTTTCTCTTGCGGTCCATACAGTTGGGACTTAAAAAAGTATTTGTGGACTTAAATGGTTTTGGAAAAAATTGTTAAATGGATGTCTGCTTTTGCCACAGACTGTCCTTAGAATTGGTGAAATTCAGGTTTTTCACAAAAATTTATTTGTTTAATTTTCTGTTGTTGTTAAGTTTACAATGACTTAATTAATTTTCATCTGTTCGAATGTATTGCTGTTTCTTTACTTTAAAAAATTGAAAGGCACGAAAATTTTCATGACTGGAGTTATCTGTTTTGCAAATCAACATGGAATTGACCCTTTTTTCTTGGTACTCAGTACGAAGGTAAATGTACATGTTTGTAAGCTTACATCCATGAAGGGTGCAATGAAGCAGCATTTCTGTGGGTATACAATGGCCATAGAATCCTTGTTTGTGCCCTGTTCAATGTCATGTAGGGCCTTTGGCCCAAAAGAGACTTGTTTTTCGTGGGAGCAGGGTGGACGTCAGATCCCACAGTTCCGGGAGTAACTATTAACATCATGATCACGAATTAAGGCTGAGCATGGTCAGCCTTAGGCTAGTCCTAGACCCGTAAGCGTCTTTTTTATTTACACCGTAGCCTAGGGTTTTTCAATCTGGTGGTGCTAATTCATGCTTGAAAAGAGACTAGTGCTGACTGAACCAGTCAGGGCGAGAGCACGAAAAAACGAGACAAAAGTGCTCGCACAACAAATAAATGTCAGTATTTAGTTCCGAAAGTTGATACTTCAGTCAA